GACCTTAATTAATTAGTTTCAACTTACCTTCAAGTAATCAAAATTAAATTTTATACCGTTGCTTGGTTTACTATATCGTAATAAAGTTATTTTTTATTTAATAATTCTCCTTTTAATAACCTTTTTCATAAAATTAATATTTGTATTTTACTTTAATTTATAGATATTTATGTTAATTTACTCTCTGTAGTTCACATTGACCATCAACATAAACTTAATAAAATCTGGAATCTGGGTTACAATAGTTTAATAGTTATTTCCAAAGAACATTTTTTTTAACATTTAATTTTAGAGATTTCTTAACCCTAACATCCTTTTAGAAATAGCTTATTTCTAAGACCTCAAAACTTGAAGTTCTGATGAGAACTCGATTTTCGAAAACCAGGGTGAAACCGATAACTTCCCGATTTTTAATCATCGATTTTCATAACAGGAAGTTAAAAATTAATATCTCGTGAATTATTCAATTGAATGGAAATACGATTTTTACGAGAGTAAATTTATCTTTTAATTAAAATTAAATAATAAATTAGTAGCTTTTACTGACAAATTGGATTGAATTTTGTTAATTACTGAAAATAGATGGACCGATGAATACTATAACTATTGAGTAATTTCACAAAACATTTCCTGTGGATATTATGACCTGGAAACGGAGCATTTCAATTTTAAAATTGACAAAATTCTATCACGTACTTCTCCTCTGAAAAATATTATTTATCATTTCAATTGATTAAATTCAATCAAAAATTTAATCAAGCTAAAATTACACTTTCATCAAATTGTAAATAAAATGTCTCTTAGGAACTCGATCATATCGAAATTTTTGATATATTTGGAAGATACTGCACATTTGATAACATTTGGATATGTTTTACAAATAATTGTTCAATTTAGTGATAAAATGACCATTAATTTTGATTTTCGTTTAATGATGAGCAATTAAAGAGCAAATACTCGTCATTTGACGTTATTTTTTTCATCTTCGATTAAAAATAATTATGCGAATCTTTTTAATGTCACATTAATGCACCCAAAAATTAAAAAGAAACTTAATTAAATACTAAAAACACGTTAAGTGTATTTGAATTTATTGTACTAATCATAAATTTATATATAACCTTGACCACTTTTTATGACACTCGCAATAAAATTTTTTAAAAGTCGAAAAGCTTAAAATCAAATCTAGATTGTACACAGAAAAAAAAATTTACTTGAATCAAGTAAATAATTTTAAAGAACTTCATCTTTTTGATTTGAGTAAAAAAATTCTTCAACTAAGAAATCTGTCTTGGTTTAAGTAATTTTTACTTTATTCAAGACAATGAAACTTTTCAAAATTTTTTTCTTGGTTCAAGAATTTTTCTCTTGATTTAAGTCAAAAGTCGGCGTATTTATTACCTAGCTTGTTACTTTTATAAATTACTAGATACAGGCAAACCAGGTTATTTGTGTGAATTATTTATTGAGAATCTTGATGTTAGACGTTCAGAAAGTCTTGCCTTGCAGCAAAGAGAATAGAAATAATGTAAATTTTAAGATACGAAATTTTTCGACCACTTATTATGAATCTTCTTTTGTTGTCACTTGCATTCGTCTCTGGGAAGAATTACCAGTGGACATATAATAAGAGCGTCTAATATCAAAGTCTTCAAAAACAAGATCTTTGACTTTTGACTATTTGTTTAATTTGGATATTTAAATTATGGATTGAGTAGTTTAGTAAAATTAAAATTTTTATTTAACTTAAGTGTTCAGTGGTTAAATCTTCAGATTTTATATATTAATTCTTTAATATGATTGATTCAAATTGTTTACTATATTTATACTATCTTGATATACAAAAAATGTTACGTACGAAGTAAATATGTTTGCCAATTGGCCAGTTCAGCCTTGGCATAAAATAAAGTATCTATCTTATTTTTTTTCTGTGAATACAAGTTGTACAACAAATTAGATGCGAAATTGCCGTAAAAATCTTTTCAGTCATTTTTTGGTCAATTTTAAAATACTTTTTAAAACCTGTAACAGAGTAGAACCACCGGTTTTGGACACTTTTAAACCCAATAATTATGCAGAAAATTTATTTATTTATTTATTCATTCAGATTTAAATGCCAAAGCAAAAAGCCAGATAGCAAAAGTATAAAAGATGATAATTAAAGTACATGTAAAACCATAAACATTATCAATATGATACACAGTAAAAAATTTTGCGTCGGTGCGTCAAAATACTGAGTGTTAAAAATTTTTGTGTTAAATATTTAACATAAAAATTTTTAACACGAAATTTTTTGACGTAAAATTTTTTACTGTGTAGATTGTGACTTATAAATGACAGCATAAATAGAAAATATAGAAATAGAAAAAATAGAAACACTCATGGATCTGAGCAATGATGTTTTGTACATATCAGTTTATACTATAAATTATGTATAGAATATTTGCAGACTTTGGTTCCTAGGCTTCCCTGAGTTCAAGGTCGTAGAAGAATTTAAATTCTGGATTTAAATGCCCTTATGCTAAGTGAGTTTATGACATCCAGTGGTATTTCGCGCCAAAGGCGTATTGATGAGATTAAAAAAGAGTGCTCATATACTGATGTTGAGAAGTTTGGAAAGCAGAACGAGACATTGTTGTACTTTGAAGCCAGCCTTTCCGAGCGTCTAATGTCTTGTGACTCCTCAATAAAGAGATACCTCAAAAAATTTGGCTCACCAGAACTGAATAGTTTGTAAAGAAAACAAGCTAAAAGATATAATCTTTTCGATTTGATTGAGAGCCATTGCAATGTTAAAATAATATTTTCATAGAATTTAGGCAGGCAATAGCCTAGTCGGCTCGGTGCCCGCTTTTCGAAAGAGTGGGACCCGGGTTCGATCCCGGCACGCACCAATATTTTTCAGTGATTATAATTAAAAATATGTCCGTTACATTGCCAGCCTCTGAAATGGCAGAGATAGCCGGGCGGCACACGTCTGACTTGGGCGATCACCCAGTTAAGCTACAACTTAATTGGGTGACCACTCTAATCAGCGTTGGCTAGCACGAGGGATTTCTGCTAGAGATGTGCATTTACCGGTATTTTGATTTTATGTGACGAGACTGTCGTAAATACCGTTTTGTGACGGTAAGTGACGTCACAAATTTTTTTTCAACACATTTGTTGTGCAAATGACGGTCACAAGCCCGGTCACAATTGTTACCGTCATATACAACTACGTAGACGTCCCGTGACGGTTTTTTTTACAAGAATTACTTAATTATATGGGAAGTATTTCACTGAAAAATAAGAGGTTTGATAAGAAATAAAATGTCAAGTTAGAATGAGTATAGATAGATAGATATATTATTTATTTGGCCATGAGATCGTAATCCCTTGTGGCCATACATAAGAGCAAATTACATTTTTTACATTGGTTTAATACATAATATTAATTTTAGTACAAATATAGAATATAAATTTAAGTTACATTAAATTAAATTAATTTAATCCGTTCAGATCAGAAACAACTACATAGTTTCTTAATTAATCAATTCTAGATTATGAAAATAGTTTAATGCAACGCTACGAAATTCATTAAAAGTATCAATTTGTATATATGAGTATAATTTGTTAAAGGATGAATAACGAAATTTATATGATTTTATTATTTAAAACTTTGCTTGAAATTAACAAATAATATTTTTTTCTTCGAATATTTTTATTATCATAACATCTTAGTTGTTAGGTTCAATAAATAAATAATTTTAATTATTTGTTTACTTATAATATTTAAATAGGGGAGGCCGGGGCACGGCGGCCCACCCGGGGCACAATGGCCCACCCAGGGCACAGTGGCCCACTCCAAAAATTTTGTCAAAAAATAAATTTAATTTTTTTAGTTGAATAGCGAAATCCGGGATAAAATGAACCATTTTTTGACAGTAATCACAGGTATATTCATCTGAATAATCTTGCTCAATACCTGCACAGGAATTGTGAGACCACATTTTGCAGTTATTGCACTGAATCCATGATTCTTTTGACACAGAATAGAGTCCATTACAATACAGGCAATGGCAATCACTGTCTTCTACTTGAGAACTTTTTTTTTTTCATTTTTGGAGCTTTGTTTTTATTAGTGACTTTCTCTGTTATTTTATTTTTTATTTTTTGATTATTTTTTTTTCCTCCAGCTCATCATAGTATTGTTTACTTGTCAAAATCCTCGTCACACCCCGACGTCGTTTTTTTTTGCGGGGAATCTCTTGATGGCAATGGCTTGGTTCCCGACCAAAATATCCAAGCGACAAAATATCCCCGTGACAGAGTACCCCCGCGACATTGTGTCCCCGATCATGTCGCTAATTTGCCCACACGACAAATTCAACTACAAACTAATATTTGTTATTTACCGTAAGATAGACGGTGGTGTTTACTCAAGTCAGGTCTTAATAGGTGACTGAATAGTAGTTACGGACAGTGTCTCGGATAGCTTAACTGGTAGAGTCTTTGGCGCTTAACTGAACGATCCGGGTTCGAGCCCCGGTCCGGGCTGTCCGAATTATATTTTTTCAGTTACCAAAATAATTTCTACTGAGTAAAAAAAGGTCCTCCCTTCCCCCATATCCTTTATTCACCCAATCCCCAAATTTTCCGCGGACATTATGACGCTGACACAGCATCGCTGGATATAATGTCCGTGGATGTAATTGCCCGTGGATATTTTTACATGGAACCAATGGCTTGATGTCGTAAGGTGTTAGATGAAACCTCGATGTGTTTTGTCTTACGGAGTCTTAACACAAGCGCCATACTGTGCACCTCGTGTATAGAAATTGCCTCGTGTTCTATTAATTTCAATTGCTCTATGCAGTGAAAATTTATGAAAAGTGCCTCAAAAAACGAACAATAATAGTTAAAAGTGGTGGTTGTTAGTTCTTTTCTATGTGCCTGTAAAAAAAAAAAAAAAAACCACTTATAATCAGCTAAATAAACATTAAAAAGACTTTGCCATTATGGCTGGCGTGCCGCCTAAAGAGGCGAAGCAACAAAGCCTCAAACGCAAAGCATCCGCTCAAATTATGCCGAAGGACAACAAGACCACAAGAGTCACTCCACATGTGATCAGAAATTCGTTTGCTCTCGAAGATGCTTACAAAAGCTGGCAGAAAAAAAATAATAATAATAACGGATCAAATAACCACGCCGTTAAACCCAACCTCAACGAAAACCGTCGGCGCAACTCACTGCCTATGGTCGATAAGGACGGTTTCCAAACTGTGAAAAACGCTGCCAAAGTAAGTTTGGCTAACCGCACAGAGATGGCGCCACCACCTGTGTATAACAAATTCCAGCTGCTTGACAACACGCTTAGCTCCAACGACAAAATAACAAACGAAATTGAAATGGACACAGAATCTGTTTCCCAATCACCGGAGAACAACGATCCACTATCAAGCAGCCAAAGTCAGCAGACAGAAATTCCAACGGTAAAATCATATCGACCACCTCCAATCTTTGTAAAGGGTGAAAAAGCTAATGCCACAATTGGAGTACTAAGAAGCAACAATCTGGACCAAGAAGCTTTCACAATTACTATGTCGAAAGGTCTTCATTCAGTACAAGCTAAAAACCAAACAACTTTTGAGACAATCAAAATTGTCCTCATAAAAAATAATTATCAATTCTATACATTCACTCCAAGAGGTGAGAAACTTAAATCACTTCTGCTCAAAGGAATGAGTGAAGATACTACACCTGAGATTGTCCTAGAAGACCTCAAAGCAAAAAATATTCCCTCAGTTGAATTTAAAAAAGTTTCTGAGTTAAAATTTAAGCGAGACGGTGAAGAAAGGCGACATTTAATTGTCCAAATCACTCAAACAAGTAGCTTAAAAGAACTATTTAAAATTAAACATGTGTGCTATCTTAAGGCTAGATGGGAGCGCCTCCGAAGAAGCAGAATACTCCAATGCAGAAAATGCCAAAGACTTGGTCATACAGCCGCTAACTGTCAAATGGAATACAGGTGCGTTAAGTGTGGATCTAGCTCGCACGCTCCTGCTCAATGCCCACTGAAGGACCAAACAACTAGAGAAAATTTCAAATGTGCAAACTGTGGAAAAGCTGGCCATCCAGCAAACTATGCTGGCTGCACATTCTTGAAATTTGAAAAAACTCTAAGGAAAGAAACAAGTGCTCAGAAATCTATCTCACTAAAGAAGAGAATTGACACAATGTACAGAGATGCCAATCCACAAATCTCTTACGCTAATTCTATGTCGAGGCAGAGAGAACATTTCCCTCCACTGACAAATAGAGCACAGGATAATCAAAATTGGTTCCAGGAAAATCCATCGCCGCCACAGCCACTCGGTGGCCAGACTTCACAGGCCTATAGGCTGCAACCGCAATATCAACAGCAGCAACAGGAACAGTCTCAGAAGACCAGCAATCAAGAATTTCAACATAATTGGATGCTAAAAATCACATCAGAACTTAGTAGTCTCGCCAGTGCTATTAAAGAAATGAACGCCACACTCAACCGCAGTGTAACGGAAAACAAACGGAGGATTGACTTCCTCTATGGATTCGTTAACGCCAGAGAATGAATAAGTCCTCTTCTAACGATTCCGAACCTACAAAAATTAGTGGACCTCCTGGTCATTTAACTGTCATAAGACTCATGGCAATAAATGCAAACTGCCTTCAGCACAACGTTAGACGATTCGAGCTTTTCAGCAGAATCGAGCAATACAATCCTGATATAGTTTTAATTTCAGAAACCAAGCTCACCAAAAATCACTACATACAGTCTCATGACTACACGGTCATCAGGACTGATCGTCCTAATTCTAAACAAGGAGGAGGTACGGCGATAATGATTAAAAACAATATTAAACATCAAATTATCAAATATCCTACATCTGAAAAAAATGAACTACTTGAATTCACCATAGTCCAACTGCTCCCGAGTCAACATTTAGAAAAGAAAACATTTATCATCAGTGCCTACGCCACAAATTCTAACAGAAAGATATTCATTCAAGAGCTAAATGATGTCCTTCAACGACTAAATTTACACAATCAAAATCACTTCTTCATCCTAGCGGGAGATCTTAATGCTCGTAGGAAGGAATGGGGTGATTCAAAAGACAATCAAAGAGGTAAATATTTAAGAACCTGGGAAGAAGAATCTGCAGACAAATTTGGAGCATCAATCTACACCACTGATGAACCCTCATTTACAGCGGGGACTTTTTTAGACGTATGTATTACCAACATCACACTCTCAAGTCTCACTGCAAACAACAAAATCACAACTGCTGACTATGATAGTGACCACCGAGCACTACTGTTCTCTGCAATCCTCCCCAGTGAGTTACAAAAAGAGACTGTAATACAATCCCCGAGACGAAACCTCCGGGCTATTAAATGGAAGAAATTTGGAAAAGTTCTAGATGATGAATACAAACAAGATCTCCCCGATAATAGAAACCTTTCAATTCAAGAAATTGACGAAGGTATACAAAAAATAACGTCAGCCATAGCTACCACTATGTCAAAAACTGCTCCCGTAGTTAAAAGAGATGAGGGAATCCTGAAATACCTCAACTCCAGAATAAAAAAACTGCAAAAAAACAAAACAGAGTCTATCAAACTGCTGCACATGCTATCAAAGTCTACAAACCCACACAAGCAAGTAGCAATAACAAAACTAAAGAGCACTATTAATCTCATCAAAGCTGAGCTCAGAATAGAGTTCAACAAAGCAGTTGAAGAATACTGGAGAGGCCAGATCAAGCAAATCAACCACAAGGACCCAACAGCATTCTTTCCAAAAATAAATAAACTGCTGCGAAAGAAAAATCTAATCTCAATAGCTGACCAAAAAATCAACAACGATGACCCTGCATGTCTCAATGGATCAATTGACATCTCGAAAGCTACACCTGTGGACAACGAACTAATAATCACGGATCCAACTGATAAACTGAATGTCATTGGAGACTTTTATCAATCGATAAATGCTCCAAGATATTTAAATACTGGTACCAGGCTAAAAGAAATAGTGGACAGCAAAGCGTCAGCAGCCAAAGAACTACTTAAAACAAGAAGAGATGTTAGTATCACAATCACTAACTTCTCAAGTGAAAATAGTGCCATCAACCCAACACATTCGGGCTTTATTATTCCAAATGTACTTAACAACACTAAAAAAGACGCTCCAGATGAACATAAGAAGGAACAGCCATTTATAAACATTACACAGTTAACAAAAATCCTAAAGAAGCTCCCAAATAAAACGTCCAGCGGACCAGATGAGATACCGTCAATAGTCCTAAAACACCTACCTCTAAGATTAATCAATGGACTAGTAATTATTTTCAACAATGCTATCAACCATGCATACTTCCCAGAAGTATGGAAATCAGCCAAAGTTCTTCCAATACTGAAAAAAAACAAAGATCCCAGTAAAGCTACGAGTTACAGGCCAATCAGTCTTACCTCTAACATTGGTAAAGTGTACGAAATGACTATCAACAATCATATGGTCCGAGTCTGCACTGAGGAGAAAATAATGCATGATCTTCAATTTGGCTTTAGAGCCAAACATAGCACTACGCATGCAATTCACAAAATTGTAGACACAATTTTGAACCACCTCCATAATAATCAACGCGTTGCAGTTGCGCTGATTGACCTTGAGAAAGCTTTCGACTCAGTTTGGATCAATGGCTTAACATTCAAATTAATTAAACTTGGTTTTCCTGATTGGCTCACGCTACTCATATTGGATATGATCCTGGGAAGGACTTTCAGTGTATGGGACGGCGTAAACACATCAAAAAAGAGCTACAAAATTTTAGAAGGGCTTCAACAGGGAACTGTTAATTCCCCACTACTTTTTAACATCTACACAATGGCTCTGCTTCAATCATTTGGCCTGAACAAGTCTGAAAATCTGTTTGCAGTCGCATATGCTGATGATATAATCACAGGAATAGTTGGTAAAAACCCAGCAAAACTTCAAGAAGACCTCGAGACACTGGTCAATAAAATTAACAATTATTATAAAACATGGAACCTACGTATGAATCCTGAAAAATGTGAAACGGCCGTCTTCAGAAGAGAGTCCAACCATCTCAGCAAAAAAGCACTTTCACAAATCGACGAATTTAAAATAGTCACTCCATCACCAAACACAGGCGAGCCAACGGAAATTCCACACAAAAAAATAGTCAAGTATCTTGGAGTCCATATAGATCAGCTACTGAGAATCAGGAATCATCCAGACATCCAACTCACCAAAGCCAAGGCCGCCTTCAAGGCCAACAATAGAATTTTTTATAACAAAAACCTAAGTAGAAGAGCAAAAATTATCTGCTACTTACTACTCGTCAGACCAATATTAACATATGCAACCCCAATCTGGTGGAATACCAGCGCAGCTGTTATGGAAAACTACAGGGTCTTCGAGAGGAAATGTCTCAGGGCATGCATTGGTACCTACAGATCAGCAGCTTCTAGGTACAAAAAATTCGTCAGCAATGCTGAGTTATATAACATTGCTGACATTCCAAGAATTGACTCACATATCATCAGACTAATTAGAGATTACTTCAGTAAACTACCTCTAATCGATAACCCGGCAATCAAAGAGCTGGCCAAGTTTTCATCTGACGACCTAGCCAAGAGAAACGACACTGGTGCACTCCCGCCTCAAGCATTCTTACCGCTTGACGACGCAGGACTCATCCAAGACGAACATAATGTGCCAACCATATACCATTGGAAAAGACACAAAGCACATAAAAGGATTGATTATGCTGTAGATGACCCAATACTCAAATGGTTTAACTTTTCCTATTCAAGAGCTCTCCCGACGAGAGATAAAATGGACGATCACAGGCTGAACGAAAAATATTGGTGGCTCACCAATGAATCAAGGCATCGTAAAGAGCTAAGAAGAAGGCTGCACCCAGAATAGTGCAGTGTAATTTTTAGATTAAGAACTGTAAATATTTGTACATAATTTAGTTTTAGTTTGTATATTATTTATTTAGTTTGTAAGGGCAAAAGCATGAGATGAGTTATATAAGTGGTTTTGGAAGATGACTTTCCACTTGAGTATTATTATAAAAGAAATCAGAATATTTATAAACAACAATATTTATTTTCAAGTGATTAGAGAACAAATAAACAATAATTATTTAATTAGGAAAAACGGATAGACCCCAGCCGCTCCAATCAAGGAGACTTGCGGTCTAAACTATTGATATAAGTTATATCTAAGATTTTTAAGGCTTTTTTTTAAGTTAAGTAATGCAGCCTATAATGTATTAACAAGAAAATGTATTTTATCTAAGCAAATAAACTTCTTTAAAAAAAAAAAAAAAATATTTGTTATTTACCGTAAGATAGACGGTGGTGTTTACTCAAGTCAGGTCTTAATAGGTGACTGAATAGTAGTTACGGACAGTGTCTCGGATAGCTTAACTGGTAGAGTCTTTGGCGCTTAACTGAACGATCCGGGTTCGAGCCCCGGTCCGGGCTGTCCGAATTATATTTTTTCAGTTACCAAAATAATTTCTACTGAGTAAAAAAAGGTCCTCCCTTCCCCCATATCCTTTATTCACCCAATCCCTAAATTTTCCGCGGACATTATGACGCTGACACAGCATCGCTGGATATAATGTCCGTGGATGTAATTGCCCGTGGATATTTTTACATGGAACCAATGGCTTGATGTCGTAAGGTGTTAGATGAAACTTCGATGTGTCTTGTCTTACTTTTGCTTTGGATGATGCAGCAGTTCGACTGATATTTTTAATAAGGGATTTTTCCAACTCTTCATCGGAGCTTTCGTCAATAATTCGTGATCTAAAGTACCTAGATAGGGGTCTCAACGATGGTGTAGCAGTGGAGGTGGAGGCAATTGGAATAATTAGTGGCTCTCCAGGTTGTTGATGCAGTTCAGGTTTTTGTTGCTGTTACTGTCCAAGCTCTTGTTGTACAAGTTGCTGCTGTTCAGGTTGTTGCTCGGGTTCAGGTCCTTCAATAAAATCTATCTTGCACAAATCACTCAGACTTTGGGTCAGATTTTCTAGTGATTGTTCTTCAGGTGGTTTATTGCTATTGGTAGTGTCAGTAAGAGCAAAATCTTTTGAGTCAAAAATATTTAAACAAAGAAAGTGAAAAGGGGTAGGGGAAGTTAAAAAATAATAACTATCATTTAAAAACTTTTTTTTTTATGAAATTAGAATAAATGAATAATATTAAAAAGAAAAAAAATTTTTGGTAATATTTTTTTTTTAATTATTCTCCAGAAGTGGGCCGTTGTGCCCCAGGAAAAATTTTTTTTTTTTTTGTGGATTTTGACCAAATTATCATATATTCCCGCAAGATAAAATATAAGAAAATTTTTTAGATGATCAATAGTAGCTAGAAATAATAACGCGCTTAAGTGGGCCGCTATGCCCCGGTCTCCCCTAAATATTCATTTAATTTCATAAAACTCTAATCTCTTTAGTTGATTCACATATATGTGAATCATCAATCAATTGGCTATAGCCGCGTGCATAAATTTTGAGTTGAAAAGGACAAAATAAACTCTACATAACCGCTAAAATACATTATTATTTGTAATTGAAGTTAATTCTACTATCATGGGTTTTTTTGTGGTTTCCCCATGATTCTATTCCAACAGCCTGAGAAGGTAAGGTTCAGGGTGAATACGGTACAGAAAGCACAAGTCGGGCTACAGCCGCAAAAATAAAGAGCAGTAACCAAGCAAAATCATTAATGTTGAGGAAGGCTTGGGGTGTAAAGGGGCATAAAAAGCCTATACACTAGAAACTCATAGAAATAGAATATTTTCATAGAATTTTCAAACGATTACATTCATTCAAACAGAATTATCGTATTCTTTTGTTTAATAAGTATTTTCTTATACTTATTCATCGATTATCGTAATTCTATTTCGACGATAGTCGACGAAAACAGACATCCGGTCTATACTAATAATCATATAAAATAATTATTTTATATGACCTAATTTTTTCAGTTAAAATTTTAATTTTTAGAATATTTTTTTGTTTATTATTTACATTTCACGAAATGTATCCCACGTTGGGCGCCAAATTATATAACGGGTATTTTCGTACTCGTGCGTTAGCGAGGACGAAGCCCGAAATAAATAATTTGGCCTACCTGCCTTACCTGTTGTTGGGCGCCAGGAGCTTCCCTGATTAAAAAAAGGAATTTGACAGAATTAAAAAGAATTAAAATGTTAATACTTCCAAATTCTGCTAAATACTGCAAATCCTGTTTCAAAATTCACGATTAATCATATTAAATACTTTGTAATCCTGAAATAATGTTTTCATTTCAATATTTTTTTAGAATATAAAAAGATTTAACTAGCATTTAAAATTTCTGATTCTATAGAATACTTTGTAATCCTGAAATAATGCTTTCATTTCAATATTTTTTTAGAATATAAAAAGATTTAACTAGCATTTAAAATTTCTGATTCTATAGAATACTTTGTAATCCTGAAATAATGCTTTCATTTCAATATTTTTTTAGAATATAAAAAGATTTAACTAGCATTTAAAATTTCTGATTCTATAGAATACTTTGTAATCCTGAAATAATGCTTTCATTTCAATATTTTTTTAGAATATAAAAAGATTTAACTAGCATTTAAAATTTCTGATTCTATAGAATACTTTGTAATCCTGAAATAATGCTTTCATTTCAATATTTTTTTAGAATATAAAAAGATTTAACTAGCATTTAAAATTTCTGATTCTATAGAATACTTTGTAATCCTGAAATAATGCTTTCATTTCAATATTTTTTTAGAATATAAAAAGATTTAACTAGCATTTAAAATTTCTGATTCTATAGAATACTTTGTAATCCTGAAATAATGCTTTCATTTCAATATTTTTTTAGAATATAAAAAGATTTAACTAGCATTTAAAATTTCTGATTCTATAGAATACTTTGTAATCCTGAAATAATGCTTTCATTTTTGCTCCAATCACGTCGATGTCCGGCTACTCCGATCCGGGACTCCTTTCGTCGGGTGGCGGGCCTTAAGGGTACGACTTAATTATAGAGGAACGAGGAAAGTATTCGGGGCTACTCGCATTAATTCGCAATTAATCAAAAAAAATAAATTATTAATTTATTAACAATAAATTCAAATAGTTGTTCAATATTAACAAAATAAAAGAATTAAACGCAAAATAATAATAATCGTCGACGACCTCGTCGATACGCCGTCGGTACGCAGTTTTGCAGAAAACAAACATCAAAATTTTCAAAAAAAAATACTCCGGTAAATTTCAATCAACAATCTCAAATACGAAATTTTTATTGTCGCTCACTCAGTTAGTTTAATCAGTTAACGACAGAAAACAATTAAATTATCACGCAATTCACTCAATCGCAATTAATTAACTAAATAATAGATAAACAGAAAAAAAATTAAATCTTCGCTTAATTTAATTGATAATAATCAATTAAATCATAATACCATAGAATAACGTCCTCGAAATTCAATTAATAACCATTAATTAAAACAATCAAACATCAATCGGCGCTCAAGTCAGTTATTTTTTAATTAACAAAAAAAAATTTTGTTCGTAAATCGTCGCTCAATTCAGCTAACTACCGTTAATTAACCAAAAAAAACTATAACTTCGCTCGATTTAATTAATAGCAATTAATTAAATGATTAACTCTGATAATCAATTTGCCAACAATTTAATCAATAATAATTAATTCAAATTTAACTTTCTAAATCTCCGCCGAATTCAGTTCAATAATAAAAAAAAATTCATTTCACCACATTTAAATAATAATTAAATTCTATAGTAAATTATTACACTCGCCGTTTTTTTTTTTTTTTTTTTTAATTAATTATAAAATTAATTAAAGATTAAACAAATAAATTAATTTCTGTTTAATTCGCCGGATTTAAATAATCAATTAAATAATGATACTCAGTCTAATTCAATCATTTAGCGTCAACAAAACAAAAAAAAATAATCACTCATTGTCTCATTACTAAGTCTCACACAGCCGATCATCCGCACGAACCCGAAGCTCGATCAATGGGTAATCGAACCCGTCGATTACCCCGGGAGTAACGTCGAAATTAAATAACAATGATACTAATAATAATATCAACACTAAATTCACACAATCTTACTAAACAAACAATGGCGGTATCGAAATACCTCGTGGGATTATTGTATTATTGGTTGACTCAAAGCAACCTTGAAATTCCTTGGCGATGTGTCACACCAAGCACGACAAATTTAATTACGAATAATTAAAAAAAATTACTTTATCCAAATAAATCCCACGAGCTATTTATTTAAGAAAACCGTGGCACTCACCCTGGTCGAAGACGTAAATCTACGTTGTCCGTCGATTGGCCGCACCAGGTCGTACTCGGCTTCCACGTCGACCAATCTATCTTACTCATAAATAACAAGTTCAATTATTGTTTTAACATAAATTTCACTTTTTTTTTTTCAAGTGAATTTCGCATTTTTTTAATGTCATTATTACATTGAAAAAAATTTTAATTGACAGTTTGCACAATGTGAAAATAACATTTTTAACTTTGTAAAATTGACATTTTTGGTTTGACACCGGTAAATCTGTAAATTTGACAGTTTTTTCTGTAATTTTGACAGAGTCTTTTTTCCGTGTAAGAACTCAGAGATAAATTTTTCAAGATTTGAATTATTTTTATACGGCTTTATGTTTTTTAAAGGTATCTTTTCCGTTATGTGCTTTTATAGAATCTATAACGCGAATTTTCCTGACGACAAGATGTCCTATCTGTGTATATCATATATATTGACAGTAAGCTTATTATAAGAATATGATTTTTAAAACTATTCTAAAAGTTAAAGTAGATTGTGACAAAGAAAGAAAATCAATTAAATCTAACAAAAATACATATGAAGTATTTTATTGCTCAGTTTTTCATGAAAATAATTACTATATATCATTGTTACGTTCTCGTAAATTTTAAATTTATTAAAAATTTTATAAATTTATTTTAAAAATTAATAAATTATTATTTTAATAAATTAATCGTTACTCGAGGTAGCTCGTAACGGAAATACCTTGAGATAACAGATTTCTAGAACGTCAACGCAGCTCAGCAGACTAAACAGTTTACGTTGTGGGATTTGATAACATATTAAATATTCATAGAAATATTTATAATATTAATCAATAATATGTTATAAATTCTTTTGATGTTTCAATAAAACGTTAAAAATGTTTGCTGTGCCTATTGTCATGTATTTTATTAGTTTAACTACTGCTTCGGGAGTGTTCAACTACTGCGGCTTGTCAGAATTGATTGTTCAACTACTACTCCTTTGATAGTCTATCTTAAAAACGTTGTCAAAATATAAATATTCAATTATCTGCATTATTTTGCGCTGCAATCAAAATTTTTCTGTTATTTATAATAATAATAATAATAATAATATTTATAATTATAATTTCAGAAAAAAAAATAATTTTCATAAAAAAAATTTCTTAAACAAAATAAAATTTGTTTGATGCCGTAAGATGGACGGCGGAGTTTATAAGAAGGTCCACCTTTACAAGCATAGAATGTGTTTTCCATACATGCTTGTAAATTTACGATTCTAGTAAAAATTTTTCTGTTATTTATAATAATAATAATAATAATAATAATATTTATAATTTTGCGCTGCAATCAATTCAAAATTGTTTATATTTTCATAAAAATCACCAATTTGAACTAATAATTACATCTTTGTATATTAAAAGTAAGGTCAAATACGTTTTACTTTGAAACCTGTTCAAACTTAGTCAAAGAAAATAATGTGACAAAGTGGAGAAAAAAATTTCAAATCAAGAAAAACTATAATTGGTTCTAAATCTCCCTCTTATGAAATAATGTGAGCAATGTCTTATTCTTTAGAGTACAGTGAACTCGAAGAGGAAAAAGGAATAAATACTACACAGCTAAGGGTTTTGAGGAGCTGAAGTCAACGAACTTTCTAGACCCTTAAAATAATTTTGTTTTTCGAAAATAAATTTATTAACTACATGTGCTACATTTACAGAATAATTATGTGTTTCCATTTTAATTTTGATAAAGTAATACAAATTTTAACGATATATACACCCGAATCGCATCGAAAATTAATTAATTATTTTACCTACATAACATTATTACACCAATTGCATTGTCTATTAAATATCAATTATAAAAATCGATATTACGTTTTAAAATAAATTTTTTTACTCTAAAAAGCGAAATAAAAAAAAAACAAAAAAAAATCTACTACTATCTCATGAATAAATTCAATAATTTCGTACTCATCACAATGAACTGATATTGCAATCCGATGGATTTTTTATTAAATTAATATTATTCATACTTTTAAAAATCTATAAAGAATTTAGCAATCACTTGATACCGTATAGAAATAATAAATATAGCAGGTAAAGCATGAAATGAAAAATCGAATCGTCAATTGAATAAATTAAAACTAGTCCGTAATCTTAGCTATAATTTAGGCATAGATTGCGGCGACGGTGGCGCCGTAAGAGTGTGAATTTCGTCCAGTGATTTTTTGGCAGCGTGCTGAAGATCGTCCATGCCACGTTTAGTTTTAATCGTTATGTCATCTATCTGACGACGTGTTTGCGACAGCAATTCATCCGTAGACTTAACTGCAGTGGTAGCGAGGTCTTTCATTTCCATATCAAGCTTGATCACCCATTCAACAGCTTGTCGTCCCTAAAAAAAGGTTAAAGTTTTCTGTGTTGCTAAATTAAGTACAAACTCGGCAAAAATTGTTTAGTGAGTAATTTCACTTAGTTTTTACCATTCCAGCATTGAAAGAAATTCTTTTGGTCAAAAGATCCTCCATGTATGAAGCAAGAGGCGCTCCCTGTACGGTAACGATGGCCTCTTGTTTCAGAAGAGTTTTATTTTTGTCTTGGGGATGGGGCATGTAACGTAATGTTTCTCCAACGTCTATGTAGTTACTGAAAGACAACTGAAAGAGATAATAAATATTAAGGTTGACAAAAAACCAATAGTATAAAAGTTTTAAAGGGTTACAGTAAAAATGGTACTGTGCATAAAATATTATGAGAGCCTAATTTTAAGTCATGTTCTACACGGGAAGAAAATTGAAGGAGTTATTACTATTTTACTATTGTAATTTTTACTAAATAAAATAGTAACGGTGGACTATACTTCTCATTTAGTAATTTTTACGATCTACTATTGTAAATTTTATCCAACAAATAAGACTAGCAAGAGTTTTAAAAAGTCGAATACTATAGAGCAAACTATACAATATGTGTTTGTGAACTTTACAATTCAACTATTGTAAAAATTCACAGTTGGTTTTTTTAGAAGAAATATTAGGGTGGGAGAGAGATATAAGGTAGCACGAATTGGTACCTGCACAGTAATCGAAAAAAGAAACTGATATTTTCGTGCTATCTGGGAATCGAACCCAGAAACTCTGTGTTGGTAGCCAGAGACTCTCCCTTTAGGCTATCAGCGGTAAACTAAGACCCACGTCCTTTAACATTTATATAAACTCAGAGGCTAGCGCTGTGCACGGCCATCACTCACACTAATAGAGAGACATTCTCTATTGGAAAGATACATAGGCAGCACTGGAAATTTTCATATCTTACTTTTTACAATAGTAATATCGTATTTTTTCCATTAATAAATAGTATTTTTTCTTCTAAAATATTTGATAATTAATAGTAATAAAGGTATAGTCCAGCTTTACAATAGTTGTATCGTAAATTTTTCCAGAAATTTTTTCCCGTGTATTAATTCAGGCGCAACTTGACTGTAACATTTTTCGGCTAATAATTTATGAAAAGATGTCTGTTATAGATCGGGGCAGAAGTGAAAAATTAAATAATGCAATCGTATAAAAAAAGCCGTCCGTATTCTTGAGGAATAATTCATTCAGTCCTCTATCGTTTCGATTCATGAATCATAAAAAAATCAGTTAAAGACTGTATAACCGGCGATCAGCCCATAAAATAATTGAGTACAGTATCAGTTGTCTTAAAGCTGTATTTAGAAATAAATTTTTATAAATAGTTGCTCAAAAGACACAAAATTTCTTCTACTGCCACCGAAAAAAAATTGATTATAAATAAACGAAACAATGTAACGCTGCAATTTTCATTCCACAACTTTCTCTGAGACGGAAAAGATTAATAAAGAAATTGAGTTAAAAAATTGATTTTTTTCAGTTATCTTCGAGCTCATAAAACAACTTATATCCTTTTTAAAATATTTAGTGGTTGTAAATTAATACATCCTTTTTTGAAAATTCTAAATTGCGATATCTTTCGATTGAATCAATCGTTTTTGATGGGACTTGCACTATTCGACGCAGTTTTTCAAGTACAAAAATATTATTTGTTATCTATCAAACGATTCAACATAAAATTTTGAAGTTATTGAAAAAAAGGAACTTTTTTCAAAATTTTTCAAAGAATTCTCTTAAACGAAGGAACCGATTTTGATGCGGTTTGCGGAAATTAATGTTGTTCTTTGAGATTAAGAGCTGATTAATTTTTTGAATCGATCGATACACTAGTTTAAATATTATTCCAAAAAAACATTTTTTTTTAGAACACACACACACATACTAGTCAAAAATAAGTGTGTATACGTTAAGCATGAAAAAATGTTGAGCATTATTTTAGGTGGCGCTATCAGTATACATCACACGCAACACACTGTTAATAAAGTAGTATTAGTATTGTTGCTCCGCCCGCGTGTACTGGACAAGATTTGAGATCTGGTGTGAACTCGATTTTCAAAAATCGGGGTGAAATCAATAACTGGGATTTTGTTGAAAAACATTGATTTTCATAGCGGGAAGTTAAAAATTTTGGTAAGTTCAAAGATTATTTTTCTTTTCAACAGTGCACTTTTTGTATCATTCATACGCATATGACTTTTATATACATAACTAGGAATTCAAATTGCGTGCATACGCGCTCGCTCTAATTTTGAACCAATAACCCTGTTGAGAAACTCTAATAAGATCCCATCAAAAGCGACAAAAGCCATTTAGAAACCAACAAAACTTATGGGTTTCTAAGTGGCTTTTGTCGCTTTTGATGGGATCCTATTGGAAATTTTAAACAGGGAAGGAATCAGGGTCCATGTTTTCGAATTATTTTGATACTAAGCTAACTTCAATCAATCATAAATTTTAATATATAGGATGAACATGTATATTGCGGCTGTCAGGTATGATTTAATGTGACAAAACGTTTAGATCTTGATTTTCAAGTGATTGCAGAGCATATTTTTGCACTCGAGTTTAAAGCATGCAATTAGGTTACATGAAATAGAAAATCATAGAAAATATTGTTCGAAGCTGGACCATAACTATCGGTAAGCAAAATTTCTGAAAAAAGCTGCATTCTGACACAAAAGCGCGACAGCAAATTAGAATTAAAATACATAATTATAAATTCAATTCATCAAAATTACCATTAAATTGACGGGTTCATTATGAACTGTAGAACCTGTAACAACGTGTTCACTAACTGCAAGGACTCATATGAAATACAATGTTCTGAAGCAGGTGTAGCAGAGGCATTAATATAAGCGTAAGTCGGAGAGAACAACGGTTACAGCGAATGCTGGAGGAAGGACAAGAAACAATTGAAACGGGGGAAAATACATAACATAGAAGGGGAAGCAGAATAGTATATAGTCGAGAGATTGCAGTACGTTTCAGGAGAAAATTAGCACCCATGGTATTGTATACCACACAAAAGTATATAACGTGCCAAGCATTTCAACGTAATATTGCCAATAAGGTACGCTTCTATTGTTATCATTCTTTTGACTTTTATTGTTTAACATCGAATTCCAATTCTTTTCGCTAATTCATACATCGATTCACGATGATAATATCCACGTTTTTAAATACCTATTCAGAAAAAATTCAACTAATTGGGCTTTCATTAAATTGTAAGCTTTTGTCTGGTAATGAGTATGAAGACAAATAGGCAATAAGTTATAAGAATACGTTAATAACATAATAATTTTGAGTTTTAAGTTTGCTATTATCAATGCGTTAATACTGCTTCAATAGATATAAGCTTTTATTATTTGTCGAGAGTAATTGCAGTAATTGGCGATATTAGAGTTTTACATTTAAAACTAGATAGTATCAACGATGCTCGTTGTAAGATACTGACCCTAGTTATATCTATTGTTGAAATGTATCTACCACGGCGCGTGACACATTTGCCAACGGCTATCAAACGGGCATCTTAATCGACGTGTTACATTGCTTATACGAAGCACGCTATCGTGATAAGGTCGGCTACCCAGCACACATCAGTTGACCTATCCAATTTGTCGAAATGTGTATCAGATAAATTATTTTATTTCTACCAATCTGGTGAAAAACTAGAAGGTAAATCTAAAAAAAAAAGGTTATACTGGAGCTAAATAAAGAGAAAAAGTATCTTATAAAGGATTTAAGATTAATGGTTGGAGTATACCTGGAAAAAATGGTCTATTTAGTGTTGGAATTTCATAGCTTTTTATTGAAAAAGAACAACAGTTTTCGATCGAAAAAATTCAATAGTATCATCAGTTATAAATGCGAAATTACTTGCAACGAAAGCTTTTGATTAAGAATGTTAACTCAATATCGATCATTGAAATTAAATCAATTTTGTTTTGTAAAGTAAAGTACTAACTTGAGCACTCAGCGTTATGAAACTTGCAAATAAATGATAATTCTAACAAACTGTGAAAATAATCGGACTAACGTTGGAAGGCAAAGAACTCAGGTGTTCGTGCGATGTACATAGACAAGGTAGTTTCCATAAATTCAAAGCTCAAAGTCAAAAATAAAGACTACCTAACAATTTTTATCTAGTTCTAAGTCGGCCTACTTTATTCACGATACACGCCAGCTAAAAGGAATAACCTACAATTTAAACCGTCAGTGTATTAAAAAAAATCACCCGTCACCCTGTAACCTTAGTATGATGGGCACGTACAGCACCACCGGATCTTACAATTTATCTAAATCCTACGATTCACTAGATTCTTTTCTACGGTCGCTTCAAAATGATTTCCTTCATCAAAATGATCCACCATCCTCCTACTAAATAACAAACTGCAAAACTAAAAGTAAGAACCCACAAAGCAGAGCAACTTAAAAACGGCGATAAGCAATCGACTAAGCAAGAAAAATAATTTAATGAAAAATGTTAACTGGTTGTACTTTGTTCTTATCAATACTTTTAGCGAAATAAAAAATAACAGTAAGCTATTAAAAAGCAAGAACACACGTCGGTACTGGGAACTGGTTTGGTATGGATCGCGCATTAAATGTTGATCATAAAATATTTCTCCACTGTGCAATCGTGCTCAGCGAGGCAAGAAAGCCAGACAGAAGCAGATACAGTTAAACTATGGTCCTTTACTTAGTATTTTCAGCAGCGCGGTCATATAACTAAACGAGACACGTGTGGGGTAGAAGTCTCTTGGCAAGATCTTCTACACAAAAACACCATGATATTCGGTGTTGTAACAGTGTCCAACTATCTTTTGAACTACAATATCAACTACACGAAGTGAAACAAGTGAACAACAGCACTACCACTAACAATAGTAACAGTCGCTACAGGAGGGACGTAAAAGCGTTAGCATCCTTTTCCTCATGCTATGGCTTAATCTAAAATTGAACGAATCCCGGGGGTCATGTGTAGCAACAGAAAGGGATGAGGATAGTGGTATTTCAGCTGCGTACACTGGGATATTATAGTAGCCTCTCGCGGTCGACTAGAGTGTAGTATGCTGTGTATTGTGTGTACCATAAGGGTATATCTACTTCCGATGTATTCTACATAAGCCCATGAGTCCGGTTCACTGTACTCACGTCCTGTTCTCTAGAACCAGAGGATCGCTTTGCCTGTACACGGGATTTCCATCCCCAGAGAAAAATATCTTTTAGTATTTTATAGGGTTGGACACGATGTACTGGTGGGTAGAAATATGAACATGCTAAAATGGAATAAATACATGCGCTGGAGACTAAAATATTACCCTGGGAAAATTGATCTATGTTCATATTTTATTTATTGCAAGACTATTACGATGATGGAGATAAAAAGAGGTTGTGTTTTATAGTTGATATATAATATTTATATCCGTATATATGGATACCTTTTGGTGGAATTCATTTGGATTGGCACGTTCGAGATATCACAGAGTTAATATTAATTCCTGTTAAGTCGCTAATGACATGTCTATCAATTGTTGTAACCCTATCAACACAGTAAAAAATTTTTCGTCAAATTTAACACAAAAATTTATGTTGATGACTTTTTTTACACAATTTGTGTTAAATCAACACTCTATTGTGTTGAATCAACATACGAAAATGTTAAATTCTACACACTAAAATGTTAAATTCTACACAAACATTTTTACACTTTACACAATGACGAAAAATTTTTTATTTTATTTTATTTATTTATTTATTGAAGAAATTCGGCCCTAGAACTGACGTTCCTTAAAGGCCGTAGAAATTTAATAGTATTACATAGTGAGGAAGTACTTTGAATACAAAATTAAAAAAGAATTTGGATACAAAATTGAAAAGTAGTTTGAATACAA